GCGCGACTGGGCGCACTTCGGCCCCCGGGCCAGGGCAGCGCTGCCCCTTCCCAGGCTCGCCCAGATGGGCGTGGAGGAGGGCGACCGCGACGAGACCGACGCAAACGACGAGGCGGCGCCGGACAGCGAGCGCCTCCAGGGAGACGGCGATTCTTGTCACAGGAGCAGTTCATGAAGGTGACCAAGTGCAAGCTGTGCCACGAAAAGGGCCACTGGGGCCGGGAGTGCCCCAACGTCGGCAGCGCCAAGATGGAGGCGATCAAGAAGGGGCCGGGCATCGAGCCTTGGCGTCAGCCTGCGTGTTCGACGGTTTGGCCTCCCGCGGCAGCGGAGGCGGCGCTCGCGGGCTGGTCGGGTGCAGCCCGGCAGGAAGTGGAGAGGAGATCACCGCGAACTCAGTCTACCTCGCGGCCTCCGCCACCCAGGGGCCGGCGGGCCCTGGCGCCGGCGCCGACTTGATCGGCCCAGAGGCGCTCAATCGGGAGTCGGAGGCTCTGGCGACGCATGGGCTGCGCTGCGCAGAGATTCCCCTCGAGCACCGAGTGCGCGCCCGGCGGGCCCGCGGCGTGGGCGGCCCCGCCATTGCGATCAGTGTTTTTTTTTTTTCCCTTTATGCTTGGGCGGAGTGCTCGGCGTCAGAGTCGCGACAGTCTTAGGAAAGACGGTGCCCCGCATTCTAAGTGTTAATATTTGTTTATTTTCTCGAGAGCGTGGTAGACCGGCCGAGCGGCGAGCTCAGGTCAGGCACCCTGCAAGTTTCAATTGATACGACTCGTCTGGGCTCTGGTCACCGCGTGGTCGAGGTGGTTCGAGCTTTGGGCCGGCCGGCCAAGGTGCCGGCGGCGGCGCTCAAACGCTACCCTCTTCTCACGGAGAGGTCATATATGCTTGGTAATGACAAGCCTCCGAGGATGCTGGCCGACGGCGCACTGGCGATGCGCATGTCTCTCCTCTTCCTCCGGGCCTCCAGAGGCAGTTCCAGGCGCGGGTCATGTCGCCCGGGAACCTGGTCGAGAAGGGGCACGAGTAGGACTGCTATCGGGAGGAGTCTTGGACGGTTGGGGCTCTGCACGGCATGCCTGGCGACGCTCCTCATCACGGCCTTCTCGCCCTCTCCCCCGGGCCTGGGGCTCAGCGAGCCCGCCGAGAGAAGGTATCGGCTTCGGGATCGTTCCGCCAGGCTCGGGTCCTCAGCGACAGGAACATCAACCCAGGAGGAGCCATCGAATCCATACCAATCCGACGCCTCGAGACACTGGCAGGTCTGATCTCCGTAGCCACGTTTGGCTCGAGCCTTCGCCTTCAGACTTCGAAATATTCTCGTGCCGACAGTCGACTGAGAGCCCCTGTCGGCATTGTCCAGTGGTTCGGCCACGATGTACCCGATCCTCTGGATGGCGATGGTCCTGGTCTCCCAGGCGAGGGCTAGCCCGAGCTTCCTCGGACAGGCCCAGGAGCAGCAGGGCGGAGGAGCAGCGACATCAGACGGAGCAGCCATGGCAGTCGATCGGAGCTCGACAACGGGGGCGACTACAGCCAGCACGTCTTAGCAGCGTCAACCTGGCATGCCGAGCCAGGCGCCTCCTCGGCTCATGACGTGGGCTCAGGCCCAGGCAGCCGCAGGACCCGATGGTGTACCCTCTACGGCGGTGATCGGATACCTATCGGACGGCGCGCCTCTGACCTCGGAGCACCAGCTGATGCTACTCGGACCGCCTCCGCCCCTGAGGGGGCCACCTCCGGGGCCGAACCCGGCAGCGGCCTCAAGCGGTCATCCGCCATTCCCGTCAACGCCGTGGACAGCTCCTCCCCTTCGCGCGGACATGAACAATTTACAGTAGAAAGCAGAAAGCAGTAGTGTAACAATGGAAACTGGAAACTGGAACTGGCGCAGGGAGCAGCAACCTTAATCCTCGCAGCCTGGTGGCCCCGCAAAGGGGCCGGCGGATTGTTCGCCACGTCGTCCTCGTCATCGACTCCTCGTTGTCCTCGTTTTTTTTTCTTCTTCGCACAAGACGCCCATGTGACTACAGCGGCGCTTCCCGTTCTTGTCCGATCAGGTTTCTGGGATGTGGTCCTTAAGTACGATGGGAGCAAAATAAGCCCAGCCGTGTCAGACCCCTGGGCCGCATCCAATCGTGGCGGGGTCGCCAGGCGGTTTTCAGGTTCGGGTCCTTCTCCCGGGACGGCTCGGGCGGTCGGGGCCTCTGGGGTCCCAGGACCGTGGCGGTGACGGACACTGCGCGGTGAGGTCTCTTGCTTGGCATCGGTCGGGCGTGTGCATTTTTCCTCGGCGAGAACCATCGAGGACCATCCTGGGCCATCGAGCAACAAAAGCACGCACGAAACCGAGAAATGCACGGCAAATGGACGTCCGAGCGACGGCGAGCTTGGGATTTCGAGGTCACCACGCGGCCCCGTCACCACACGGCTCTGGGGCCCCGGCAGAGGGCGGGGGAGGGACCAGAGACCGAGCCACTCCCCAGGGACGCTCAGGAGGGGAAAAAACATACAGACACACTTGTTGACGCTTCGCGAATCCCCACCAGCCCATCCAGAAACGATGCCCAGAGGAAGTGCCTCGATCAGGGAAATGGGCAGCACACAGAGGAAGCCTTTTTATGAGACATCTTGGGATATCTTGAGCCATCTTGGAGGTCATTTGGGGCTCTCCTGGGCGCTCTTGGAGTCATCTAAATCAGGGCCCCCCCAAAGGGCCAACATGTAGCTAAAACCTTGATGAAATCAATGATTTGGCATTCTCGCCGAGGCCTCTTGGAGCATCTTGGGTGCCTCTGGGGGGTCTCTTGGGGCCTCTTGGGGGTCTCCTGGGGGCCTCCTGGGGGCCTCTTGGGGCCATCTTGGGGCCATCTCGGGACCTCTTGGGGCCTCCTGGGCGCTTCTTTGGGCCATCTTGGGTGAGATCGATCACAGGAGGGGGGTTACTAATTACAGCCCCCCCCAGGAGGCAAAAATGGGGCCCAAACCCTGTCATACCAATGATTTTGGCTTCCTCGCCGAGGCCGTTTTGGACGCCCTGACACCTCGCGACCCCCCTCGTCCAGGTCCAGGGGGGGGGTAGGGGGAGGGGTAAACCCCTGCCCGAAGGGGAAGAAGGAGGGGTGGAAGAGGAAACTCCCTAAACCACCGACGCCCAGAGGGCTGGTGGGATTAATCGCTGATCCCCGGGAGAATGTGGGAAAATATGGGAAGTGGGGGGGAAAACAAATCAAGAAAATATAAGAAAATGTGGGGATCCGGTTATTTGTGTGTATTTATTGAATCGCTTCGCTCATTCCGCCGGCCCGTATTGGTGATCGGCTGTCGAGTGCCCGTGTGATCGTTGTCAATGGGGTGCTGCTGGGTCGTTTTTTTTGTTTATGGATGGCTGGGTTTGGATGATTTCGCAGGCTTGAACCATTATTTGCCCGCCTGAACCTTCTGTTTCGGAAGGTGGCGGCTCGTGAATACGATCGCAGGGAACAAGACAACATTCTGCAGTTTCCTTTTTGCATTCTTCGGGCCCCTTGTCGCTTGTTGGGGCCTCTTAGGAGCCTCTTGGGGCGTCCAGGAGGCCTCTTGGAGCGGAAGGCTCGGATTTTCGGTTCGTGGTCTCCATCTTGGGCCTCTCCTGGGGCCTTCTTGGGGTCCTTTTGGACCGTCTTGGGCGCCTCTTGGGCTGTCGTGGGGCTCTCTTGGACGGTCGTGGGCCTCTCTTGGAGGCCTCTTGGGCCGTCTTGGGGTGGTCTTGGAGGCTTCTTGGGCCGTCTTGGAGCGTCGGAAACGCGAACAGGCGAGAAAGCCAAAACCTTGAAAAACCTAATGGAAATCAATGGTTTTGGCACTCTGAGGCTTCGTGGACGTTCATTGGGATCTCGTTGGATGCCTCTCGAGGGCTTCTTGGAGACTCTCGGGAGTCGTTGTCGAGCCTCTTGGGGTCTCTCGGGCCCCTTGTCGCTTGTTGGGGCCTCTTAGGAGCCTCTTGGGGCGTCCAGGAGGCCTCTTGGAGCGGAAGGCTCGGATTTTCGGTTCGTGGTCTCCATCTTGGGCCTCTCCTGGGGCCTTCTTGGGGTCCTTTTGGACCGTCTTGGGCGCCTCTTGGGCTGTCGTGGGGCTCTCTTGGACGGTCGTGGGCCTCTCTTGGAGGCCTCTTGGGCCGTCTTGGGGTGGTCTTGGAGGCTTCTTGGGCCGTCTTGGAGCGTCGGAAACGCGAACAGGCGAGGACGCCCAAAACCTTGAAATCCCAATGGAAATCAATGATTTCGGCCTCTTGGGGCTCTCTTGGAAAGGGTCGGGACTCTCTTGGGACGTCTTGGAAGCTTCTTGGGCCGTCTTGAGGCCGTGTTGGGCGTCTTGGGCCGATCGTTCGGCGATTCGGAACCCTCTTGGACCGTCTTGGAAGCCTGTTGGGGCCCTCTTGGCGCGCTCTGGGGAGCGTGGAAGGCCGCACCCAGGAGGAAAACCATCTCTGACCCGAGTTTGCCGGGAGTGTCCCGGGACCTTGCCGGGTTCCGGCCGGGGACCCCCAGGGGCCGCTCCGCGCGCGCGAAGTATAGAGTTATTGCTAACCAGTTACCGGAGATCTTAGCACGCCTCTGGCCCGTTGGGTCGGCGAATTTGTGTGTCCTTGGGCCCCTTCAGGGCCGCGCAAACGTGGATTCAGGCGCGTTGTGGGCGGCGGGTCCCGCTTCCGTGCGGAATCAGCGCGCTGCGTCGCCAAAGCGGGCGGCCCATGGCCCCATGCACCGGGGGTACCTTCGCCGACCCGTGGATCTGGCCACCGAGCGCCAGATCCACGGATCCCAAGTCCATGTTGGCGTTCGCCCGACTCGGAGATGCGGGGGGAGCTGGGAGGTCGGACCCGCGGACGCAGCAGGAGGAGGAGGAGGAGGTCCTCGTCCTCCTCCTCCTTCTTCGTCCTCCTCCTCTTCGTCCTCCTCCTCTCCTGGACCTCCCGGGGTTGCCTCAAGGAGGGGTGGGGGGTGGCCGATCCCGACCAGGACGAGGCCATGTCGACCCCGGAGAAGGCGGCCAGCGCGGCAGCCAGGCTGGAGGCCCTCGAGGATGGATCCCGCGCTGCAGCCACGCTGGCCAGAGCGGCCAGCGCCGCTCCGGACGATGCTTCCAGCGCCGCGCCGGCGCCGGCGCCAGCGCCCGCCCGGTTAGCCAGCGCGTGGAGAAAGCGGCCGGCGTCAGCCCAGCCGGCTGCGGCCATGCTGGAGGCGCTCCCCGAGGCGCGCGGGAGCGACCCGGTGGCCTGGACTCGGGGCTCTGGCCTGGGGGAGGTGCACTCGTGGGCCCCCCGCAGGCGCCAGAAGATCACCGCGCTGCGCGCGTCGCGGCCTGGGCTGAAGAGCTGCACTTCGCCGAGGTGGCCTCGCGAGGTCGTGAAGGTAAGCGCGCTTCGCGGAGCGCGATGCGCCGTTCGTTGCCATAATCATTCTGGGCCCGTCGAGGCCAGAGGCGCGGCGCCCTCGCACCGGCGGGAGGGCCGCGAGCTGGTGGTGACGCCGGAAGGCGCGCACGGCGGGTGAAACTCTGCGGCCCAGCAGCCCTGAGATCCGATGACCTGATGATTTTTCAATCCCAGCGCTCTTCCTCAATGTCGGCATCCGGGGCCCGGGACCGGGCCCCGGGGCCATGGAAATTGTTCCTGGATGAAGTGACTCCCCCAGGGATGCAGTCGGGACCTCCTGGGCCAGGAAATCACATTGGTCAGATCGTGGGATGATTGGGGTTCGAGTGTTAAACGAGGTGTCTTCGTTTTCCGGTTAACGCGTTGAAGACATATAGTGCTCTGGCCCGGAACAGCATTGCCACTTCTCAGGCGCATACCTCCAGCGTCTCGAGAAGCTGATGGCACAAGCTGACTTCGTGTGTCGCACGGTACATGAAACCCAGGCGCGCCTGCGAGCGATTGCCCCTGACCCAGGCGCCATGTGGGACGGAGGGAACTTTCCCGCCGCCGAGATCGAAAGAACGTGCCGCTGGTTTGGGAGGAGGAGGAGGAGGAGGAGGAGGAGGAGGAGGAGGAGGAGGGGAGGAGGAGGAGGAGGAGGGAGGAGGAGAGGAGGGGAGGAATGGAGGAGGAGGATGAGGACGAGGAATTGGAGGAGGAGGAGGAGGGGGAGGAGGGGGAGGAGGGGGAGGAGGAGGAGGAGGAGGAGGAGGAGAAGGAATTGGAGGAGGAGGAGGAGGAGGAGATATGACAGAAAAAACTAGCGCGGCCACCGAGCGGGAGAAGTGGAGGGCAGCAGCAGCAGCAGGCGGTGACGGTCAGGGTCAGGGGGGAAGGTGGGGTGGGCGGGGGTCGTCGTCGGGGCAGGGCGCTGGGGGCGGTCGTGGTCGTGGTTGCGGTCAGGGGTTGTTGGTCGCGGTCTCGGTCGTTGGAAGCGGGTCGTTTGGGCAAGGCGTTTGGGGTGGTCGCTGTCGGGGGCGGGGGCGGGAGCGGCGTCGTCGTCGTCGCCGTCGTCGCCGTCGCCGTCGTCGTCGGTGTCGGTGTCGTCATCGTCGTCGGTGTCGTCGGCGTCGTCGTCGTCGGCGTCGTCGTCGTCGGCGTCGTCAGTGTCGGTGTCGTCGTCGTCGTCGGCGTCGTGGGCGTCGTCGTCGTCGTCGGCGTCGTCGGTGTCGTCGTCGTGGTCGTCGGGCGTCAGGCTTGCGGCAAAGGCGGTTTTGCGGTCGCGGTGGCCGCCGTGGCCGCTGCCAGCCTGGCTGCGGGCGCCCTGCCCGGGGCCCGCCGCCCGCGGAGCACGGCCCAAGGTGTCCTCCAGCGCGGCTCAGGGAGGCCCAGCACGGCCCGCGCGCTTCGGCCCAGCCTTGGCCCAGGGTGTCCTCCAGCACCAGGGGTGGACCTAAACGGTGTTTTGGCGATGTCCTGGGCCGCTCTCGTTTCGATGTCGTTTCGCGTTAGAGGCGAATCGAAGACAGAACAAAAACGAAAACGAAACCAGAACGAAAAGGGAAGACGAAAACCATAACGAAGACACAACGAAAAGGGAAAACGAGAACCAAGAAGACGAATCGAAGACAAAACGAAAAGGGAAAACGAAACCATAACGAAAACGAAAGACACCGTTTAGGTTCAGCCCTGTCCAGCACCTCCCGGGAGGCCCAGCATGGCCCGGGCTTCGGCCCCCCGGGTGTCCTCGAGCATCCCCAGGGAGGACCAGCACGGCTCGCGCGCTCTCCAGCACGGCCCGCCCCTTGGCCCCCGGGGTGTCCTCCGGCATCCTCTGGGAGGCCCAGGCGGCCTCGCGAGCTCCACGGCTGTGGCGCGAGGAGCCCGGGGGGCGCCCGAGGCCAGGGCCGCCTCGGGCGGCTTCCGAGATGCGCCGCCGCCACGGCGGCGGCGCAGCCCCGCCCGACAGCAAAGTGCTCGGCATCGCTCGGACGTGTGCTTTTTTCCTTCGGCGAGGGCCCTCGAGGAGCATCCTAGCATCCTTGATCATTTGGCGAAAAAGCCCCGCACGAGACCGAAAAATGCACAGGGAATGGACGCCCGAGCGATGGCCAGAGATGCGCTGCCGCCATAGCGTCGGCGCAGTCCCGCCCGACAGCAAGGTGTGCCCGTTCTCCCCAGGCCCACGCCTGAACCCAAGTGCGCGCAGTCTTTGAGAGAGGAACCCCAGTGCGCAGGACTCGCGCACGCATTCGCGAGGGGTCGGACCGCGGCGTGGGAGAGGAGAGCGGGTGCTGTTGCCGATGCGTTGGCCAAGAGAGGCGCGGGCTTCCACCCATGCGTTAACCCTCTGCTGCTGCTGCTGCTGCTGCTGCTGCTGCCACTGCTGGCCTTCATACTCGCGGGCGGAGGCGGGTCAGTGGGTTGCGCGGCAGGGAGTTCTCATGCAGGAGAAGGGCTGGAGCGACTCTGAAGGGGTGCCTGAGGCCAACCGCGGGGGGCCAAGGCCAAGTAGGTCTTCCAGGCCACGCATGGCCCCCCCGTCGATGAGGTTCAGGGCCGTGGGCCGAGTCGGTTTTCCAGGCCACGCATGGCCCCCCCGTCGATGAGGTTCAGGGCCGTGCTCTCAGAGGTCTCGCAGTGTTAGTCAGACTTACGGGCCACTGCCTCAGGATGTCTGAAGCGTTCGGTGAAGATGGGGCGTCTGTGCTTGTTGGTCCTCGCCTCATTTGCTGCGTCTCCTGTAGTGCCTTCGCTGCGGCCAGAGGGCTGCGCAGGCATGCCGCCCCGCTGCGGCAGGCCCTGGCTTCAGGCAACAGAAGATGTGAGGAGGAGGAGGAGGAGGAGGAGGCAAGGTGGCTTTCAAAGTACGACGGCTGGAGCTCAGGCGAGCTTGATCTTCCATCCCTGGCCGATATCTCCCTGCTTTGGCTGCCAAGATCTTGTCCTGCCGCTCGCGGCGCGGGAGCTCAGCTGCGAGGCCTCTGTGCCGTGCAGGCCCGCCTTGGTCGTCCAGCTGGACCAAGGGCCAGCTCTTGGCGAGGCGCAGCCTCCCAGCCTGCCCCCTCGCTCACTAGGAAGCCCTGGCTGCCCGAAACGCCCGCGATCGCGGGCTCGAGTCGGGCACGGGCGACACATATTCATGACTCGCTCTGCTCTTATGCTTGCCGCTATTGGCCCGGACTTCGTTGGCTTCCCTCTTATCTCGCCTCCTCATCCTCCTCGTTCCCTGCCCTCGCTCTCTCTCTCTCTCTCGCTCTCCCTCTTCCTTTCCCTCCCCCTCCCTCCTCATCCTCGTCCTCGTCCTCGTGCTCCTCCTCTTTCCCCCTCGGCATCGCTCGGACGTGTGCATGCTTTCTCGGCGAGAACCATCGGGGACCATCCTGGGCCATCGAGCAACAAAAGCACGCACGAAACCGACAAATGCACGGGAAATGGACGTCCGAGCGACGGCGAGGACAGCAAAGTGTGCCCGTTCCCCCCAGGCCCACGCCTGAACCCACGTGCGCGCAGCCTTTGAGAGAGGACCCCTGCGCAGGACTCGCGCACGCATTCGCGAGGGGTCGAACCGCGGCGTGGGAGCCGAAACCGACGAATGCCCGGGAAATGGACGTCCGAGCGACGGCGAGCCCCCCTCCCAGGCACGGTCGGCGCCGCCAAGGCGCTGTTTGAGCGCCTCCTGGCCTTGCCGGCGCGCAGCGTGCGGCGGCTGCGCTCGGGAGCCGGGAGGCCCGGAGCGAGGGGGGGGACGAGGGGGGGAGGAGGGGAGGAGGTTGGAGGAGGGGGGAGGGGAGGGGAAGGGACGGAGGGGAGGGGGGGAGGGGGGAGGGGAAGGAGGGAGGGGAGGGGAAGGAGGGAGGAGGGGGGGAGGGGAAAGGGATGGAGGGCAGGGCTGGACCTAAACGGTGTTTTGAGCGATTTCGTGGGCCGTTTTCGTTTCGACTTCGTGTTGCGGTAAAGGCGGATTGGAGACAGAAGCGAGGGAAAACAAAAACATAACGAAAACGAGCAACGCCGTTGAGATTCAGCCCTGATGGAGGGAGGGAGGGATGAAGTGGGATGGGGCGGGGGAGGGAGGGAGGGGACACGTGAGGGACAGAGGGAGGAGGGACCCGAGGGGAGGGGAAGGGCGAAGGGGCGGGCGGGAGGGAGGAGGGGGTGGGAGGGGAGGAGGAGGAGGGAGGAGTGGAGGGGGGGGGGTGGGAAGTGGAGGGAGGGAGGGAGCAGGGAGCGGGAGCAGCAGGCTGGAGTCGCTGTCGCTCGCGCCGCTGGTGCCGCTGGCGCGCCGCCTCGAGTCCCTCGCCTCGCCCGCGCCCGCGGGCGCCGCCGCCGCCCTGGCGACGGGGGGGTCAGCTGGCCGCGCGTCTCTTGTCAGCCTCGTGCGCCCCCTCCTCCTCCTCCTCCTCCTCCTCCTCCTCCTCCTCCTCCTCCTCCTCCTCCTCCTCCTCCTCCTCCTCCTCCCTCCTCCTCCTCCTCCTCCTCCTCCTCCTCCTCCTCCCCCTCCTCCTCCTCCTCCTCCTCCTCCTCCTCCTCCCTCCTCCTCCTCCAGGCGTTGTGGTCCGAGGCGCCTCCTTGCGGGAAAGCCCGTCCGACCGCGACCCCAGCGCGTTGGCGCCACGGCCCGCGATCGATCCCTTGCGTGGCACCGCCGCGGTAGGCGGCGCAGGGCGTTGGCCAGAGACAGATTACGCCGTGAAGCCGACCTCCAGGCGTTGTACCTTCATCACGGCAGCTGCGTTCCTCAGATGGCTTGGCGATATCGTACCCCGTGGAGGCGCAGCCGCCACAATGCAGGCGCCTGGGAATTTCGTGCTGATGATTCGTGGAACAAGAAGTCGAGGGACACATCCTACCAGGTTTGCTCAATATGTTCTCAGTGGGAGTATACCAGACACGGGCATCGTGCGTGCAGCAAGTGTCATGGAGCATACCGTCAGGCTGGTGATGCCGTCAGTGGTCAAGGTGGTCTATCCCAGCCTGATAATGCTACTCCTGCTCCTGGTGCTCCTGGGCCTATGCCACCCGAGTTGGTTGCTCAACTCCAGTTGTGGTCGTCCGCCTATCCCGCACTTGCAGGCGTTGTGCAGGCTCTGGCCCCTCCCACGCCAATCGTGCAAGCCCCGTCCGAGATGGAGATGGATCGGATGGTCTCTGCCAAGCAAACCGAGTTGGCCAGGTCTTGTGAGACGGCGGCCAAATGCGAGAGGATGGCGCCCCAGGAAGTTCAGTGGAGACTGGACAGGCTCAATAAGACGAGGGCCCTTGTGGCGGAGCATGAACGTGCTCACGCTGAAGCACTCGCAGAGCTCCAGTCAGCGGCCGCGGCCAAGCGGCAAGCCGATCATGAGAAGTCCACTTTCAACCCAGACCAATACAAAGTCCACAAGAAGCAGGAGATCCAGGAGCATATTGACGAAGCTGTACGGAGAGTTGCGGCGGCTACTCCTACTGCTGCTCCTGCCCCTGCTGCTCCTGGTGGTGTTCCCGTGCAGCCACCTCCTGGAGCACTCCCGCCAAATATCGTCGGGTGCATCCGAGACGGCAAGGTGGACTACAATATATTCGAGACGGTCTTGCATGGGTTCGATGACCAGCAGCTGCAGCCCCTCTCGGCCTGTACCCCGGTTGGCATCGAGCAATGGAAGCAGTACCGTACTATATGCCAGCGGCGCCAGCAGCCCCTCATCGGCGATGATGCAAGCGACATTGGAAGTGAAGCTGGCGACCTGGTTGCAGAACGTGAAGAACTGGCAGCAATCAAGAAGCGTGCTGCCGAACAAGGGCTCGATGCTGCAGGTGCTGACCGCTACCAGAAGTTGCTCACGTCGACCCTCGAGCATCGGGCCACCAAGAAGGCTCGGCGTGCTGAGGTCCAGTCTCATGATCTGCATCGTGCCTTTTGCAACGCGGCAGCACAGCAGCTGGTGCCAGGAGCCGAGGCTGCTCATCCGCACGTTGGGTAGCACGTGCTCTGCCCCTCTTGGGGGCAAGGCTCCGCCATCGTCGCACTCCGCAGAGGGGAAGGTGGGGCCTAGTACCAGCACAGGAGTGCATTTCAAGTTCGCGAATATTACGGCTTGGTCGAAGTTGGCTCAGGATTTCTTTGCAAACCAGGTTTCTTATGTAGATGGAGTCTTCTTCGCCGAGCATCACCTGAAGGATGGATCAACAGTTTTTACAGCCAAGAAACTCTGCTGACAACTTCGCTGGCCCCCGCACTTCCAGAGCGCAGTGCCTTCGCCAGGGGGTGGATCTCACGGAGGCGCGCGCGCCGCAGTCCAGCCTGGCCCCAGCATTCGTAATTCTTGACGCTTCGCGTATCCCTTGGGATCAGGAGGAGGTGCACCGAGAGCAAGCGCGGCCGCGTCGCCAGGGAGGACGAGATCGAGGGCCCTGAGAAGAACAAGCGGTCCCTGAGCGTGGAGCTGGCCGAAGGACGCCTGTGGCCGGGAGGTGTCGCCCTCGAAGGGCCTGCGCGGTCGTCTGAGCTGGGCAGGTCTTCTGCCTCGGATCCGCCCCAGCAGCGGCGCCTCGCCGAGGACAGTCCGGGGCTGCCCAGATCGTCCCGAACGGCTGCCAGGGGCCCAAGTTACGTTACGAGGCGTCCGAGGGGCCTGAGCGCCCCTGGCAAGTTGTCTTCTCACAGCTTCAGAAAGGACGAGCCTTCAGCTCGATAACCAGAGACTGACACATCGAGCAACCACAGAGGTGAAGAGTCGTTGGACAGTCGAGGTACAGCTCCTCCTTCCTGTCAGAGTGTGGCGCGAGCTCAAGCTATCACATTGCCTGTCGCCGGGACTGTCGGCCACCACCTCACCTCTCATTGCTCCTCCCCTGACAACAGTACCTCGAGGGCGCTATCTGTTGATGCTCAAGCGGTTGGGTCGAGCAACCACAGAGGTGAAGAGCCGTTGGATAGTCGAGGTACAGCTCCTTCTTCCTATCAGCGTGTGGCGCGAGCACAAGCTATCACATTGCCTGTCGCCGGGACTGTCGGCCACCACCTCACCTCCCATTGCTCCCCCCCTGACAACAGTACCTCGAGGGCGCTATCTGTTGATGCTCAAGCGGTTGGGGCTCAACCTGCGGCGGCACGAGCTCAAGCTATTTCATTGCCAGTCGCCGGGGCCGACGGCCACACACACCCAGCAGGGGCCCATGAAGGCGAAGTGGGGGGAGACAGGCAGTCACGTCGCCTCGGCCCCGTCGCGCAATTTAGGGGCTTTTGCCCTCACTCCGCCGTGCCCCCCTCTCTCGATGCGGCCGCCCCGAGTGAGGCTGCTCTCCGCAGCGGTTCGAGCATGGAAGACGTGTCCTCAGGTTACGGCGCGCACATCGATGCTGACGCCACTCCGGGCCACCCTCAGGAGCCTGACAGCGGCAGGCGCAGCATTGAAGGGGGGGGTAGCGCGGCCATCCCCACAATTCACACAGAACGTGCGACCTTCCGTCGCTACCCTGGAACGGACTGCGACGGGCAGAGGGACGCCCGCGATGTTCAGCCCAGGGAACGGTGCGTAGAGGAAGAATGCACCAGGGAGCTGACCCCGTGGGGGATGGTCGTGACAACGCTGGCAGAAGGCAACCCGACGCTGTGACCTTCCGCCGCTCCCTTGGACGCGATGACCGTGGGCGCGAAACCCTCCTGTCTAACCCAACCGCCTCTCTCACCCCCACCGCTCCCATGCCCGCTGCAGGACGTCAAATTTCCTTTTCTCCAGGCGCTGTCGAACAGAGTGGAGCGGCCCTAGGCGGTACCAGGGCTACGGGGGGAGAGGGCCCCGTGTCGGCACAAAACCTTCCCTCGGATCCAGTTCCGCTTAGGTCAATTGACGATGAGCAGATGAACGTCCACCGCGGTCTTCCCAGGGGCCAGGTTGACTCGGGCGGTGCGCTCAGGGAGCTGATGCCCTCAGGGGGCGCTCACGAGGGCATAGGCAACAGGAACGGGCAGGTCGCTGCCCGCAGCCCCGGCGCGCTCCATCAAGGCTCACGCCAACCCATCGCCGAGCCCCTCCCCCTGGGCGTGCCCGCGCTGAGTGAGGCCGTCCACGCTGGCGAGCTAAGCGGTGGAGCCATGCCTTCCACCCGTGAAGCGCATCCCGACGCCGATGCAGCATTCGACCGCTCCCATGGGCCCGAGAGCGGCAGGCATAATGCTGGAGAAGGGGGGGGATGCAGACATTCCTGATATACACACAAATCGTGCGACCTTCCGTCGCTACCCTGGAGCGGATGGCGGAAGGCTGGATGAGGCCCAAGGCGTTCGACCCAGGGACCAGTCGGATGTGGGAGTAAGGACCAGGGGCCCTACCCCCACGGGGGTTGGACGGGGGTGCGGCGGCTATGTGCACCCTAGCGCTGCCGCCTCCAGTCGACCCACTGGAGACGAGAGCGCTAGGCGCGACACTGGTGGAGGGGGCGAGGCTCTCCCCCCCACGACACACACAGAACGTGCGACCTTCCGTCGCTACCCTGGACCGGACGACGGCACGCAGAGAGAGGCGCACGGCGTTCAATCCAGGGATCGTTGGCAGAGGGAAGACATGACCTGTGACCCAGCCCCCACAGAGGCGGGACGGGAGAACGTCGTCAGTATACACACTGATACCGCGGCCTCCCGGTGCCTCCCAGGAGCAGGCCACGGGCCTTGCCTCACACCAGAGGGAGGGGAGGCCGGGCTGACGGCCGCGGCCGCTGCTGGGACCGCTGCCACCGTCGCCGATCATCTTGGCGCCCTACCTCACCCTCTTCATGGCACCCTACATCATCACCCTCTTCATCCTGCCCACCATCTTCACCAACGGCACTGTGAAGAGCGCTTGCGAGAAAAACAGGCGCCTGCTGTGGCAGCAGGTTGTGGCGCTGCTGGGAGAGATTGTAGCCGTGAAGCTGGAGCCCTACATCAACGCGTACGTCATTGTGAACGGCGCGCACGAGAAGAGCAGTCGTCGGGGGACGGCATCGAGGACCCTGAGGAGAACAAGCGGTCCCTGAGCGTGGAGCTGGCCGAAGGCCGCCTGTGGCCGGGAGGTGTCGCCGTCGAAAGGCCTGCGCGTTCGTCCGAGCTGGGCAGGTCTTCAGCCTCGGATCCGCTCCAGCAGCGGCGCCTCGCCGAGGACAGTCCGGGGCGGCCCAGATCGTCCCGAACGGCCGCCAGGGGCCCAAGTTACGTTACAAGGCTTCCGAGGGGCCTGAGCGCTCCTGGCAAGTTGTCCTCTCACAGCTTCAGAAAGGACGAGCCTTCAGCTCGAGAGCCAGAGACTGACACATCGAGCAACCGCAGAGGTGAAGAGCCGTTGGGCAGTCGAGGTACAGCTCCTTCTTCCTATCAGCG